TGTTTTATTTAACATACGGCCTATAGCTCAAAAATAAATTATTAAATTATACTAAACGGCCAATAAGCAACACAATCATGAACAATATTAATATTTAAAATTGCTGGATTTGTATAACTTTTGACCTCAAAAAGTAGAAAAATAAAAGATATCCTGGTTATCAATGGAAAAAAAACGTACACACAAATCGTATGGAAAGGCGCTTTTTTATATTAAATAACCTTTGCTGCATTGTCATAATATTGAGCCAAATTAACTACTGATACACTAGAATAGAGTGGCTGCATGGTTAAATTAGGAATTCGCTTATATTATCGATATTTATGTGTTTTAATCTATTTAGAAAATAATTTATAGTCTTATAGGAAATTGCCTTATTTTACGGCTTTTACTTTTTTAAAGTTACAATATATGTCCAAGCTGTGTGGAGCTGCCGATACAAATATATAAGCCTGTAAATATACATTTTCTACATTTAATTTGAAATAGTATGCACCAACGGATTAAAGGTAGTAAATAATTAGTACCTTTTCTAGTACTTTAAAATGCGTGACCGGAATAGACCTGCCGAAAAAGTGAGGTTAAGTTACTGACAACAGCTTGCCTTGAATCTATGGGCAAATACATATGTTTCAGATCTATTTAGATTTGTAAAGTAAAATTTAAAGCTATCCTTTTATAAATTTCTTAAATTATTTACTTTTTTATTTTAATTTCCTAGCAACGTCAAAGACATCACACAAGTACTCGAAATCACCGTATATGACGAAGATCGTGATCACCGCGTGGAATTTCTAGGTAAATTAGTCATACCGCTTCTACGCATCAAAAATGGTGTAAAACGCTGGTATACGTTGAAGGATAAGAATCTGTGCGTGCGCGCAAAGGGACTATCACCACAAGTAAGTAACTTTTTTTATACATACATAATTATGCAAATTGGCAACAATATGTATCTTTGAAAACAATATTATCCCCAGATCTGCCTTGAGATGATCGTAATTTGGAATGATGTGCGCGCCATTTGCCGCATATTACAGCCAAAAGAGGAAAAACTCATACAACAGGAAGCGAAATTCAAGCGGCAGCTATTTCTGCGCAACGTCAATCGGCTGAAAGTGATTATAATGAATATCTTGGATGCGGCGCGTTATGTGCAGTAAGCAATATAATTGTTTGTTGTTTTTTTTTGCGAAATATTAAAAATTGTTTAAGCCAATCTATTGCTTTTGCACGCTTTGCATTCGCAGGAGTTGCTTTGAATGGGAGTCACCGCTGCGCTCAGCCATCGCTTTTGCACTTTGGATTTTAGCTTGCGTCTATGGCGATTTGGCCACCGTGCCACTAGTGCTGCTGCTAATCATAATCAAGTGCGTTCTCTGTACAATTTGCCATAACTCATTACTATACACAACATTTTAATACCCATTGCTTACTCGGCAGAAACTGGCTGGTGCGCATGATCACCGGTACGAGTAGTGATCCTGCCGCTGGCTACTATGATTACGACTACGATGAGGACGATGACGATGATAAGGAGAAAGAGGAGAAGAAATCGATTAAAGAGCGACTACAAACTGTGCAGGAAGTATCGCAGACAGTACAAAATACCATTGGCTATTTGGCAACGTTGGGCGAAAGCACTAAAAAGTAAGCAAAGAGCAATGACGAATGTAGATGAAATTAAGTAAATCGCCATTTATCAATGTGGTAATACCTACTATGTAATTTTCTTTATTTCACGCTTCTACATTGCGGCAGCACTTTCAACTTTTCCGTCCCCGAACTGACATGGCTGGCGGCGGTGCTACTAATTGGCGCTATTGTCGTCCTTCACTTCATTCCCATACGCTTTCTGCTACTCTTTTGGGGTATCATGAAATTCTCAAGACGTATACTGCGCCCAAACACGATACCCAACAACGAGCTGCTGGACTTCCTATCACGCGTGCCAGACGATGAACTAATTGTAAGTTACTTACATTTTTAGCTTGCATTTTTTTTTTTGTTTTCATTCCACTAAACTTTGCCTACCGCAGAATCAATTCCGCGAACTGCCGCCCACCGCGCCCACCGATCAATCGCGCAATAATCCAAAGAAAAAATACAAACCCTCATAGTCCATTGCTAATCTGAACGAGAGTGGTGCGCTGCAACAGCTCCAAGATACGGCCTTGGCACAACACATTGGCGGCAATAATGCTGCTGGCACCAGCGTCACAATGCTGCCGCAACATGTTGTCAGCGTGTCGACACGCTCTGTGCGCAACATGTTCAAAGCGAGTCGCGACAATTTCAAGCAACAATTGAATAAAGCTTACGGTAAAAGTGTAAAAAAATCGAATTAGCGCAATTTGTATAGTTAAAAAAAAAAAACTCAAAGGAATTTAGTAAGAAAAAACTACTCCAAATCTAAGCACAAATTGTTGAAAAATTAAAGCGATTAGATTAATTAATTAATTATTAGCGGTACTTAGTCAATTGACTTGAATGTTGTTTCTTACGGAAACCTACGCAATTTATTGAGTATACTATATATGTATGTATAAACAAACAACGCACTTCCAAGTTCCAGAGCTCACACAATTAAACTCAAACTTATGCAATTAACTGATTCAAACTGATTATTAATAACTAAATACTTAAACCTAATTAAAATTTTTACTTATAAATATACACTCATTTACATACATACAAACGTGCATTGATATATTTATTGCCGAAAAATCTCACTATTTACAAACAATGCAGTATCTTAAAAAAAGTTTTAAAATATAATGTTACTTAAATATATGTAAATAGAAGATAATAAAATAAATCGTCACAATCAATGCAAAAGGAAAAAAAGTCCTTAAGACTAGAAGTACTTTTAAGCATGATAAAAATATAGTAAGGTAGAACCGCTGAGAGTCACTTTTAAAATTCTTGACGTTTCCAAACAATTTAATTTTTAAATTTACTCACAAACTCACACACACATTTTCATTTTCTATCTCAAGCAACAATAATTTCGAACAACTTCAATTTTTTATTTTCACTTTTATATGATTTTAAAATGTTGGCAAACTTCAAAAAAAAATCATGGCCGACAAATTGAGAGAACGGTTATACCTTGCTATGTTTTTATCATGCTTTTAAGGCCATTCTAAGGAATTTAATGAAATTCAAGTTCTTTTTTTAAATATAGGCTGGTTCTATTTCAATTCATGCAGGATGCATGGGTTCGAATTTCGAAATCAAGTTTAATACGACTTTTCAGGTTTTTAGGCCAAACCGAATTGAAAAATTTGATTTTTAAAAAAATTAGAAAAGTTGAAAAAAATTGTCAGCCATTTTTCTCTAAAATTTTCAGATGCTCGTAACTCTGCGAAATTTTTTTTTGTGCAAAACAAAAAAAAAATACGTGTCTCTTTATTTGTCCTAAAAAACAGGAAAAGTCTTATTAAACTTGATTTCGAATTTCGAACTCGATTTCGATAGAAAAAAGTTCTATGGACTTTTTCAGAAACAGATTTCACTAATAGATTTTTGCATTGATAACGACGAAGTATTTGTAAATACATACATACGTTTGTATATAAATATAAATATATACATTAGGATGGTCCTAAAAATACTTAAAATAATGAAGCACCCCTTACGTAGAACAACGTACAAAATAAAGATATCCACGAAAATTTTAAAATAAAAAAATAACAATTTAGGAGTTGCTCCAGGTTTGAAAAAATTTAATTTTTTTATCGCAAAAATTCGGCAAAATTTTAACTGACTGGCCGAATTTACGAAATTATAAAAGTAAGTCTCGACGATAAATTTAGCAGATTTCAAGAAAAAAATTTGCTGAGTTTTTGTTATTTAAAATTTCTAAAATATAGATATTAATATTTTAAGGACCACCCTAATATACATACGAAACTATAAACACATTTTTTGTTTAAATACATTTGACGGCTATTTGAAGAAATTCAATATTTTTTTTAAACAATCCATCAACATTTTTTAGCCATATTAAGACATGATCAATAAAACAGGTATTTATTCATACCAAACGCTAGGTTAAATTCATATTTTCTAGAATTAAAACTGTATTTAGAGGCACATATGTATGTATTTAGTTACCATTCAAGTGATTCTTTATGAGGTTTGTGATATTTTCTAACAGATAGATTAATTAGATTCTTAAATAATAGGCACTTAAATTTAGTAGCTTCATAAAAAGTTAAATATTTCTTAATTAATAGCCCATAGGTTTAGAGTTATCAGAGCAGTTCGGACGAACTTGTGAATTCACATAGACAAAACCACAATTAGATAGGTTTAGCCTAATGCGGAATCAATATTTGTGATTTATTGAAATAAATTATGCAAGAAAAATTTATTGGAGCTACGCAAATATTTAGTAGTATGTAATACCACTAGTGCTTCAGAATTATAGAATACTCACCGATAGCTTGTTTTCAGAGTGCGAAAGAAAATGTTATACAATCATTCCCAAGCAAAGAATTTTAAGAAAAATATTATATAAATTTTGGTACCCAAGTAGTATTTGACATATTATTTCTCCACTCAGATTTAGGCCAGGAGGCCACATAAAATGCCTCTGAATCAAGCAGAGGAATGGAAAATTATATGAAAGGATAATTTGTCAGTTCCAAAAGTTTATCATCAGTAGACACTTGCACTCTATGTCGTTTACTCTGAATCTGCTTGGAGGAATTTTCGCCTTGCACACCTCGCTTCACTAGCTAACTTGAAAACGGGACTCCTGAAGCCATAACAGAGTGGAAGATGAAATACTTACTCACCTGTGCAAAGAAGAAGCTAATGGAATTAGTTAGTTAACGGGTATTGGTTACATATACTGCAGATCGAGTGTCAATCCAGTCTCTGCAGCTCCTGTTATGGTAAATATTTTATTTGCAAAAAAATACAGAAGCCTCTTTTATACATAATAAAGAAGCTTAGATTCCCTACTGGCCTCTCAACCTTTGGGATTTACCAATGGCAAACCTCCGAGTGTATTCTGCTTCTCATAAAAATACAATCGCCGTAAAACTGCAGGTCCCTCCGCTTTGTGTGACAATATCAAGGCGCACGCCACAAATCGGAGTAGAAGCTCGGCCAAACACTAACGTATGTGTAAGCGCCAATCTGTTATTATTATTATTAATTGAATTAGACCTTTGAAACAGGTGGCAGCCATCTTCAAAAGCATTTTCATGCTTAATCTTTTTTAGCTCTTCTTCCGCGTACATTGCGACACATATTTTAATTAACTGATAAGTTAAGTGGAATTTGATTTTCCAAATATGTGGCAACTCCCCTTCGAATCATACCCATATTTTAATAATTCATTTAACTTATTAAATAATTTGAATTTAACTTTATAAACAGGTGGTAAGCCACTTCCAACAGCTCGAAAATATTTAAGCTAAAGATTTCTTTTTACTCCTTCGATTGACATCCATATTTTGATATATCATATATCTTGTGTATAAGTAAACTAAATCTGAATTTCGAGTAGATTTTTTCATATAATTTTTTCTTTTAAATTCAATTTTCTTTTTATTATTATATCATTGTATTGAACAGAAAATTTTTTTTAATTTGATTAAATTTTTATAAACTTATTTCTAAATTAAATATATTTGGTTTTTCCAATTTAATTTTCTTTTTGGTTCTAATTTTTTGTTATGAAACTTTTTTCCGTATAATACTCAGGATCTCTTTTTATTTTTTTATTTATTTTAAATTAATTTTCCTCTAATTTTTAGATTTTGGTTTTAAAATACAATTTTTTTTTAATTAAATTTAATTTTTAAGAACGTAATATTTTACACTTTTTTATTTAATCTTTTCCTTTCTTCTGTTTTATCATCTTCTTTTAATTGTTAGCTTTTATTGCCTTAAAAAAATATATGTTTTTAAATATCATTCAATTTTTAAAATATCTTAAATTAATTTAGTTTTTTTTATAGTTCTCTATTATTTAACAAAAAATTATATATTTTTGCAAATCAATTTTCTTTTTGGTTTTGGTTTACAAAACAAATTTTTTTAATTTCATTTAAATGAGAACCTTATTTTATTTTCTCTGGCTTTTTTAATTGAATTTTCTTTTAATTTTTAGACTTTTTTAACTAAAAATATTATTTTTAATTTCATTTAACCTTTAAGTACTTGTTTTTCTTTTTATACTTAATTTTATTCTTTCTGTAATTTATATTTCTTTTGATTTTTAGATTTTATTGCTTTAAGAGGAAAAATATATTTCCGTTTAGTATCCTTAAATTTTAAAAATATTTTTTGTTAATTTTCTGATAGTTGAAGTTAAAACAACAACTTTTCACTATTAAATTAAAAATTCTCCGGTTGTAGAAAAAAGTATAAAACTAGTTGTTGATTATTTGGTTAAAGAGGAATATTAACCTGATAACAAAATAAAACGGGTATTAAGCGGACATCCGATTAATCGAATATCCGAACGAATATCCGAATTCATGCATAGTCCCAACCCTGGTAGGTTCTCGTTCAGCTGCCACTGCATGATTATGCATTCGGTATAATATTAATCTCCACTTCTATGTTTCTGGCTGATAAGAAACTGCTGTTGATAAGTAAAAATTTTGCAATTTGTGCCTCAAACGAAAAGCTTATTTTGCCAACGCTGCATATTTTTTTAGTAAATATAACTTTTTTATTTAATTGTTCTAATAAATGCACAACACTTAATTTTTCTTAAATATGAATACATTTAAGTATTTGACTATTAAAATACAAAAATAAATGCAAGCCTGGTTGAAGTTTCAAAAGTCATAACAATAATTTATGACATTTCAAAAGTATATATACAAAAATACATATATATATATACAGCTATCCGTGCATATCTACACATCTTCGGCCTTGTAGAATTCATGCGTTTCACTCCTATCGCCATTTTTTCGCCCATATCCATATTTAATTGTTCCCATCATTCTTTAAGAAATCATAGACAATAGAAAAATCCTTACCACCCAACCCCTGCGACTTTAGTGTGCGATAAATCTGGTGAGTTAGGGCGCCCAGTGGTATGGGTGTGTTAGTCGCGGTAGCCACACCTGATGCCAAACCCAAATCCTTGGTAATCAAATCTGTGGAGAAACCGCCAGCGTATCCCTTATTGCTAGGTGCGCTTGGTGTGATGCCAGGTACAGGGTTGTACACTTCCGACGACCAACAACGACCCGTCGATGAATTGACAATCTCAGCGAATACTTTGGGATCCAAACCTTGACGTATGGCCAAGTTCATAGCCTCTGCGGTGCCAATCATCGTAATGCCCAACAACATGTTGTTACACAATTTGGCCGCTTGTCCCATGCCATAGCTGCCGCAGTAGGTGATACGTTTGCCCATACCCTCCAGCAGCGGCTTCACGGTGCGGTATTCCTCCTGTGTGCCGCCAACCATGAAGGTGAGTGTTGCCTGTTCGGCGCCGGGTACACCACCCGAGACGGGCGCATCAATAAAGCGGGCACCCTTATCGCGGATGAATTTTTGTAGCTGTTTCACCAAATTCGGATCAATTGTTGATGAATCGATGAAGAGTGTATTCTTGTTTACACCATCGGCGGTCATTTGGTTGTAGGCCTCCCACACGATATCATTGTTGGGCAGCATTGTGATGACAAAGTCTGAGTTCTTAGCCAAATCGGTGGTCTTCTCGTAAATAGTGGCGCCCTTGGACTTCAAATTGTTGCAAGCTTCTTTCGAAATGTCATAGACGTGCAATTTATGACCCTGCTTGATAAGATTACTAGCCATATGACCGCCCATATTGCCCAAACCGATAAAGCCAACATTCTTGGAGGCAGCAGCCTGCGATGACATGGCACGCACCAGGGTTTGGCCCAGTGCCTTAGATGTGGGCAGCGTGAAGACAATACGTAGCGCCATTTTTTTTTGTAATCAATTTAAATAACTGCAATCACAGAAGAATGACGTATGGATAATTTGATGCATATTATAAATAAGTTACGCAATGGAAACTTTGACAATTCCACGCTGACAAACATACGTAAATACATACATACATATCGTCGTTTAAAGTACAAAACCGCGTATCACGAAATGCAAAAGTGAATAAGTTCGGAGATATCTACATGCTTAGATATGTATATCTGTGGACTTTTGATAAAACAAGCTCTGTGCTTTCTGTAAGTTGAAATCTAGAGTAAATTATAAGCAACTTCGATTTAAAAATTTGATATTTTTATTTCACTTTTACTGAGATAGCATCTTGAACTATTCCTATTAATGATTGAACATAAAAATATCATACGACAACTCAATGAATTACAGCTTTGAAGAGAAAATGACCTTACTCCAGGGAAGTTGTTTTGTCAAAAGTCCACAGATATGCACATATGTATTTGTTAGGCATATGACATTTTTATAACTATATACGTATATATATGTATCTATGAGTAGAGTATGAGGAGTGATAAGAAAACCAAGAAAAAATGAGGTTTTTTCAAAATTTGGAATAAGAAGGTCACGAAGGAACTTGAAAAAGTAATAAAGTATATAGAATTTAAATTGCAGAAACCAATTTTTGATCGCAGTCATAATGCGGTTGACATTTTCCATACATATTTATTTACATATGTAAGTATATATATCTTTTCAGTAGGTAGTATCATAAAGACTTTCTTTGTGTTACTTGCCTGACCTTTTCATACCAAATTTTGACAAGAACATTTCATCAATCCTCATTCTCCACTATACTCATAGGTATATATGTACATATAATCACGAAAAAAGTCATATACCTAGTGTGTATATATGTATGTGTGATTAAAATATGCGCGCCCGTACACGTTAATATAACATACCAACTAAGCAGTTCCACAAAACCGATCCGTACTGTCGAATGCCACGAAGCACACTGATATATCGGATGCCGGTTTGCAGCTCAACCACTTAGAACTCTCCCAACTTTGTTTGCAAAATAAACATGTTTACAATCCGTATGTACGCATGTACATTAAGCACATGACTTTTTTTTTAATTTACTGAAAACAACTTAGGGACCATTCCATTGTGACTGATGGGACATTTTACTTCAGAATGTGATCAATTGTGAATTATAACTATGTCGTATGTTATAAAACAGCGAAAGATATTCTTTACCATAGACCGATAACTAAGGTGTAAAATTCCTTTCAAAAAAAACGATTTCTTAGTTCTATGTAACTATCATTTGAATGTGACTGGTGGTATACTGGAAACAACTCTATTTTACTTTTGTGCACTAAAATACTAATTTTATTTAAAAGACTTAATTTTGAAAGCACATTTTATTTGTAAAATATGCCCTATGTGTTTTCGTTTTCATAAAAAATTTGGCTAAAAGAGTCTTCAGAGATATTTAAAAAAAAATTTAAATTTGTGACTGGTGTAAATTATTTGTGTGTGACATAAACGTTTCCATACATAAAATTTACAGCTTATTTTTATTTTTTTTTTCAACAGATTAATGAAATGCAGTTATTCAAGAGTCAAAAGTTTGCTTCTGAACTGGGGAAAATTAAAATATTTTAAAATGTATGTCATTTTTCTTTTTTATATGGAATGACCCTAAGGTACATATGTACATTTAGATATATATATATGAAAAATTTTATGTCAACCGAATTAAGGCTTTAATCAAAAATTTGGCTATATTAGTTTTTTCATTGGGTTGACTTGGATTTCTTTTAACGCATTTTCTTCCATACTAAGCAAGGCGTATTCATATAAAGTGGTGTTGCTAGAACTGCTGCTTTAATTCGTCGCGATACACAGATGTCAAAACTTCTTATGAGTGAGTGCCAAAGCAAGAGTGTTGGGATTTTCTTTCCCTCGTCCTCCTTGAGCGAAGAATAGCTGAAATTCGACATTTTTGTACCGAAATCAAAAACAAAATTCATGTACGTTTTTGTTTTTGTGCTACTGCTACCACCTTATATGAATTCGCCTTGACACAAGGTATATCCGAAAATTTTTTTGTAAAGAAAAAACTGCGTACCCAAAAAAAATTCTAAAAATCTGATTAAAAACTTGAAAATTTATATTCCAGTTTGCGGATTTTTTTTAATTTTTTAAATCCAAATTTCATAAAATTCTGAAAACTAAACTAAACAAATTCATCGCTCATAATTCAATAAGTATATACCATATGTACTTTTTTCCTTTTAAAATTTTTTTAGACTTATCTAGGGAAACTTTTTGAGCCAAATTTTGCCAAACATTTTATGTTTGTTAATTTTTCATCATTCCTCATCCTCTCTTCATAAGTATATTTAATTAAAAAATAAAAAAAAGTCATATGCCTAACGTGCTTACATACATATGTATTTATGTATGTAGACTGGCGATCCATAAACTAATTTAGTTGAGATATTCTCCATAGCTCTCTCATGCGCTCTACAAAAATATACAAATACAAAATTTTCTGTTTGTCAGAAAACGAAAAAATACTATTTCTGAGCTCGTGCGAATCATATGGGAAAGGTAGTATTTACTTTTCAAAAAGTTACTGCTTCAGCTTTTATGGCGAAGTAAATATTTATTATTATTAATATATTTAATATATAGTACATATTATCAAAAAATTGCAGTTTTTGAATTAATACACTTTTTATAACCAAATTCTAAAAAGATAATATCTCAATTTGTTAAGGTTAGTCCAAAATAAGCAAGAGATGTTTAGAATATCTGTATCAAAAATGGGAGTGATCACCAGTTTTATGAAGCCACCTAAGAGCTTTTTTTGCGGTTTTTCACTTTGCTTAATGTACTTAATAGGTGCCTTTAAGTACTATTACATTAAAAAGAAAACTAATATTAATTAAATTAAAATTAATATTTATTTACTAAAAAAATTTTTTTTAATTGCACTTTTCGGCGTAATTTTGACCCTAAAGTCTCCTTTGGATACGCTTCTGAAAAATACATCCCGTATTTATGTATGTACAAACAGCACACTGTATATAATGAATATGTATATACGTAAAATATCGGCGCGTGTGTTGTCAATAAATCTAACACGCTTCCAGCGCATTTCTGACTCTCAGATGATTCTCTTTGGTAGCTTGCTCTCAATAGTAAGTGTGGGGGCACGTTTGCCAACAATATTATAAACAACTTTCAGGTGTGTATCAATATATGTGGGCATATATATGTATGGTATGTATGTATGTAGTACATTAGGGTGGTCCAACTTTTTTTCAGTCACCCCCAGAATTGAAGAATATCGAAAACAAGGAGACACGTATTTTTTTTTTTTTTTAAATCGGTTAAGCTTACCGCCAAGTTCAAATGCGGCCGTCCACATAGCCAAAATTTGGCAACGCTAACGCAAAAACAACGCAGAAAGATGGACAACTCCAATCTTTTCGCGTGCGTCGTTCGTCAGCTGTTGCAAATAATTTAAAGTATGTGAAATATTTTTCTTTTTTTATCAAACTACGGCAAGCAAAACCTTAATATATATTATATATTATATTATCTATTAGGGAGTTCACAAGGTGTTGTATACTGTCGTATTATTGTATAAAAGTCGGATTATGAAATTTCACACCGTTAAAAAGTATTTGGTTGTGGTTTCAAGTCCTCTAAACAGTTTTCTTTAAAAACTTTACGACATACGACAATATGAGACTTATGATACCTTGTGAACTCCCCATATATAAATATATTAATTTATCTGTCGCTAGTATGTTAATTAAGTTACAGAAGTATTCGCTTCCAAGCGTTCTTTGTAGCTTTGTGCTGCTGTCAAACTGCCAACGCTACACGTGGATGGCCTTTAGTTTTGTAGCCTTTACAATAGGCTTATATGCATAACTATTTACACCATTGTATGCTCTGAACTTGAGCAATTCGATTAATAATCGTTTACTGAAACACAAAACTACGGTACAATTAAATCGTAAATTGGACAAAAATAATCGATTAATTTAATCAAATCATTAATCGCTGCTATCCCTTTTTGGGTGTATTTTCAAATCCCGTAAATCTTAATATATTCCCGGAATTTGTTTGGCGTTGGTCGTGAAATATAATAGATTTCATAATTCCGGTGGAAAAATTGCAATTTTTTGTTTGTTGATGCACCCCAATGTACAAGCATACATATGTGTGTACGCATGTACAAGAATACAGAGAAGTTGCTAAGCCACTTTGTAGATTCTAAAATGTAGAACTTTGTTATCGGTAGCTCATTTCAAAAAAAGCGACAGCGCATAGTGATCGCGCCCCTTCAGCGCTATATACAGGCTACTTACTCTGAGTTGCGAACAGAGTGGACACATTTTTAGGGTTTCCTAAACAATTTTAATTAAAAGAATATTTGTATGTATGTTGCTTATTTTACTTCAGAATTAGTTAATTATTATTATTGTTTATTTATGTACTTATATACATGAGGCATCAGAGACTCTGGCCTCAATATACTGGACCCATAATGATTCAGTTGACAATTTTGAAAGTGTTTACTTACCGTGGAAAATATTCAGAAAATGTTTCGTGCAGTAAAGAAATGTTTTGTTTTTCACTAAAAACAATGCACACTTTTTCATGTATTGGGGATACAATAAAAGTACAGACGAAAATAATTTATAATTAATTTAATCTAGCAAAATGATAACGTGTAAACAATATGTTTTTTACTTGACGACACGATCATTCATAAATTGAGTCATATTTAGACCAAAGCTCTCTTTTTTAGTTTTGGAGCTTTTTCAATGCATTTAGAGAGTCGACTATCGCTTCGTAGCGAGATATGTACCATAGCACAATCGGCAAAGACGGAGCTCTATTATGCTTAAAAGCGCTCTATATGCAATAATATATATGTAGGTAAATACGAGTATGCATGTATGTACGCATTTAATAAACTTGTGTAGTATACGTGCATACATACATGTGCACATATTTGATTTGTTTGCTAAAGTTTATTTATATATGTAGTATTTATTTTGTTTTTTCTTTTGGGGATCTTATGACACTTTTTTTATAATTTAAGAACACATTTCTTTTTTATTGTTTGTGTATTTAAACCAATGTGCATTGCATACGTCTTCGC